TTATACACGCTAAATCTCATAAATCTATTTTCTACTAACTTATATTTAATAGATTATACCTCTAGGATTACTCTAATGTAATAATTTGTTGATTTATTCTTCCTTCTTACTCATTTTTTCCGCTCTCAAATTATCTATTAATAATTTATTTATTACCAAATACACGTATTCATACAAAATATATGTTTAATTGTAATTTTATGAAGTTTACCTATAATTCTATATGATAATCTTTTATTGCATAGTATTCCTAAGTTATTTCTATGTGATGTTAAGAATGTTGCAAAAGATGTGCTTGGAGTATCAAAGGAAAAAAACGCTTTATAGTAAAAATAGTTCATGGCGGAATCAAAATGTGCGTGAAAAGATAAAAAAATAGGAAGATTTGTTATAAAAATTAGTTTAGATGTAAAGATTTTGATAATCGGGAAAGATATAAAGAGACCTGTAAGGAGTCTAAGAAAGTAACATGTGATGCAAATATTTTAGCTATTAATAATTTATATAATAGATATTAAGGAAGACAAAAGATATATAGGAGATGAAGAAATTTCTTGGCTTATTAAACTTTTTAATATTATTTTGAAGACTAAAAAGATGCCATATGAGTGGAGAATGTGTGTGTTTATTCCTATTTTTAAGAATGCAGATGATGCACAAGATTGTGCTAATTATATAGGAATTAAGTTAATGTGTCGTACTTTAAAACTATGGAAGAGAGTTTTGAAGCATAGGTTGCGTGTGATACTAATATTTCTCAAAATCAATTTAGATTCATGCCAGGTAGGTTTACTATGGAAGATATACATTTATTGATAGGTTTAATAGAGAAGTATAGAGAGAATAAAGAGGATCTACATATGATATTTATTGATTTAGAGAAAGCATATGATAAAGTTCCAAGAGAAGTGCTTTAAAGAGTTCTAGAAAAGCAAGGGGTTAATAATACTTATATTCAAGTCATTAAGGATATGTATGCAGGTGCTGTTACTTGTGTTTATACACAAGATGGTTTGACTAATTATTTTCCTATTTTAGTTAGATTACATCAAGGATTAGCCTTAAGCACATATCATTTTGCTTTAGTCATGGATGTTCTCACTAGACATTTGCAAGAGGTTGTATCCTGGTTTATGCTTTTTGCTGATGATATTCTTCTTGTTGATAAGACTTGAGAGGGAGTTGAAGTTAAACTTGAATTATGGAGGGCAGCCTTATAGTTTAAAGGCTTTTGTTTGAGCATATCTAAAATTGAATATATGTAGTGTAATTTTAATAATAATAGTTCTTCTGGGGGGATTGTGACTTTGGGTGATCAAGTTATTAATAAAAGTACATGTTTTGGATATCTTGGGTCTATTATTCAAAGTGATGGTGAAATAAATGAGGATATTATTAGTAGAATTCAAAATGGATGGTTGAAGTGGAGGAATGCATCGGGCTTGTTGTGTGATAGAAAAGTCACCCTCAAACTTAAGGGAAAATTCTATAAGATGGTGGTTAGACTTGCAATGCTTTATGGTGCATAATGTTGGCCATTAAAAGAGAAGCATAATATTAAATTAAGTGTTGTAGAGATGAGGATGCTTTGGTGGATGAGTGGCTTTATTCGTAGAGACATGATACAAAATTAGCATATACATGAAAAGGTTGAAGTAGCTCCAATAGAAGATAAAATTAGAGAAATACTCATTTAGATGGTTTGGTCACATAAAACAGTGGCCTTCCGATGACTCGATTAGGAAAGTAGATGTATTAGATTTGACTTATGTTAAGAAAGGTAGAGGTAGACCTAAAAAGACTTTATTAGAAAATATTAAAAATGACCTTTCTTTAGTAAATATAAATGAGAATTTAACTTTTAACATGGCACAATTGAGAATAAGGATTCATGTGGTTGACCCCACAGTGCGACAAAGGTTTGATGTTGTTGTTGTTGTATTCCTAAGTTATTTCTCCATTTTAATCACCTCGTCTCAACTGTAAAAGTTATATACTCATTTATGTTATTATTATTCTTTATAATCAGGATATTTAAATCTATTACACTCGTGTTACTTATAATATTGACTAATACTTAATAATGTCACACTTGCTAAAATTATATATCTTAATTCTAGTGTTTGTTTTAGTAATTTTAGGATATTTATCATCAAACTAGTTTATCCATTGTTTTGATTTCACACTTTTTCCATAAAGATCTCACTCATTAGAATTATGTCTTCTACCGAAGGCATATAATAAGGCATCTTATTTTATTATTATTATTATTATTATTTATATAATAAGGCATCTTATTTTTTATATCCTTTGCAACCATCTCAATTACCAACGTAACAAGTAACGACTTGATGTTGATCTTTGATATAAACCAATCATGATTGAGAGCTTTTTAGTCACTCCATAGCTATTTCAAAATTAGGTAATGCTTTATCATATACTCATCTCTAAATATACCTTTGACACAAACTTCATAACATTCACTATATCACTGACCATATTGACCTTAATAACTTTATCTTTTAGCACTTTCTTGGCTACTATCATCACCTCTTATTATTGTTAACACTTTCAATACGTAATGGCTTATACCTTTCTCAATATTCTTAAATTTGTCCTCGTTTTGATTTTTTTTTTTTTCTGATTATCATATCCACTAATTCTCTTGTACTCCCACTCATGTTCTAAAATTTCTTGTAGAAAATCTAGTCTTAATTTTAAACCTAGTCAAACATTACTTACTTTTCTTTATCATTGAGCTAAGGTTGGTGTCATATGGTTTTTCCAGCTCTTGCCTACTTTCACCAAAATGGGCTTAAGTTATGACACAACACTTAAGGGTGACAGCAAACCTTTGTCTTCACCATAATCGGGTTAAGTTGTGATGCTCCACTTATGTGGAACACAATAACATTAGCAAAATTCATATTTTAATTTGTTTTAAGAATTTCTAAGTTAAAAACAATTGGCTTAACAAAATATCAAGCATCATCCTTTCCTACTCATACATGGAATAGGCAATAGTGGTTTTGTGTCTGATATCTATCAAATTCAGAAAAAGTCCAAATTAGTTTCTCATCTTTTTGTATGTAGCTAATTTAGTCCCGGGGTCTCACATTTATCTAATTTAGTTCCTCCCAAATGGCTCCTTATATAATTGAAGGAAATTAAGATACAAATTTGATCACAATTTAATTTTTGAGGGACTATTTGGGATTAGTTTTGTATAGTCGAGGGGCTTCATTGACCATGTACAAATAGTTGAAGAGCTATTTTGGACTTTTTCTATATCAAATTTAAATAGTGAGATATTTTAAGGGATTTTGTATTGAATGCATTATTTATCATACATCTTCAAAAACTTTAAAATGAGTAAGTGGGTATTACGTGGGATAACTTAAAATTTTCTAACTGATGCATGTATTTTAGACTCATATGAGTGTTGTAAATTATAATAGATTTGTGCCATTATAGAAAGCATGCCATTTAATATTCTATATGTTTTTGTAATATATATATATATATATATATAACATCATCATCATTTTCCTTATTCTAATTGTTTGTGATTTGCTTTATGAATCTTCATTTTCCATGCATTCCTATTTAGTCCTACGTGAGGTTATCTATCTGTGCAAATCTTTGTGCACACATTCTATTTATGTTGTCTTTCGTCTATATCTATACACACACACACACCGGATTGACTTTTCATCCTCCTAGGATGAGAATGAATATTCTTCCTCAAATTTTATTTTTGCATCTACCAACTTACATATACTTCAAACATAAGATCACAAGTTTGGTTGTAGTCTATAATATGAATGCTACTTTTGTATCAAGTTTTCAACTATTTTCTTATAAATTTGACTCTAGCTCAAGCATGTGAGTAAGAATGGTTGGATGAGATATAGAAACCATCTAGAAAACCTAGTTTAACCCATGTGGTTCACCAATCAAAATCGTAAAATACTTTTTAAATATCATCAACAACCCATGCATTTAGTTCAAACCTTTTTAAAATTCTTTTTATGTTTTGAGATCACAATCATTTTTCTCATGCAATTAATGCCATCTCTTGTGAAATTTTGATGTATCCTTTGATGATCAAATAATTTTACGATGTCCTGAAATCATGGATGCCATTAGTCTTAATGATGCTTAAGAGAATGGATGGTTTTTATCTTGCATTTGTAGGTCATACTGTAAAAGTCTAGTTGGGTGGAGATTGTGATTCCCGACCCTTGGCTTGGTGTACATATGCTTGGTTCTTGTCTTAGAGGTTGTGGAACTGATCTCTACTTATGTTGGTATTTTGATGGAATTATTTTCCACCCTTTGGGGTGGGTAGGGGGGCTTGACCTCTTCCCCTTGGCTCAATTCGCATTCTCCGCATGCTCAGATCATTGTCACCCACCTTGCTCCCCGTCAATACACACAAGCTAATGTGTGTTAAAAAATTCTTTTTTTATTGTATTTATGAATGCATAACATACATATGTATGTAAATATCAATGAATTTACTTTAACATGTAATCTTTATATTCAAATATGTATTTATTTCTGTATATGATAAGTTTATGGGTTTATACCATGGTATGTATCCTTTTTTTATAATACTTAATCCGTCTTATGTTCTTTTTCTTTCATTGTTTCATAGACACGGTTTACAATGTTTTACTGACACATTTTTGCATGGGCATTGTTTGAAAGGATCAAGCACCGCTTCAGATGAAACAGATCTACTTAATTTACAAAATTGTGCTATCAAAGAACATATTTCAGTGATTAAGATTGTTCTTTTATATTTCTTTTTAGGCAAGGTTTATTTCAGTTTGCTTCATCCTGAAAGAAGTATTTTTCCCGGCTTTAACCAGTCTTGTCGGAATGTTTTGCTTTTTCATAACTTTTATTGTGTTTTTCTGCTCTTATGAAGAAAATATAGCCTTTTGTTGATTTGCTTTCTCATGACATCTGGGATACCTTTTTTGCTTTTGCAGATCAATCAAGCAGGTTTTTCTGCACCTACTCCAATCCAAGCACAATCGTGGCCGGTTGCTTTGCAGAATCGCGATATTGTCGCCGTTGCTAAAACAGGTTCAGGCAAAACATTGGGGTATCTCATTCCAGGTTTCATTCATCTCAAGCGCCTCAGCAAAGATGCTAGAATGGGCCCGACCGTTTTGGTTTTGTCACCAACAAGAGAGTTAGCTACACAAATACATGAAGAAGCTACTAAGTTTGGAAAGTCATCACGAATTTTAAGTGCTGTAAGTTTCTGAATAGTGGCAACAGAGAATACCACTGTCTGTATATCAAATTTCTTCTGTCTGCTTCATAGTGAATATATACTGCATTTATTCAACAGAAGTAATAGTTTCTTTCCATTTATTTTATGCAGGCTTGATATATAATTAAGAGCATATGACCGACTTTGCATTTAAGTTGGGATGTATATTATCTTTTGAAACATGGATCTTTTAAGCGCAACGTTTCCTGTGAGCATTTGCTTTATCTGCTTATTATAAAACAAGGAAACACTATTCTACTATGTAACCGGGTCTGTAATCCATCCGTAAACAATGAAATTTTAGCATGCATCTAGAAATTTTGGAGGTTTCATATACTTTACCTGCTGATAAACAGACTAACTGTCATTTTGAGTGGTCAATGTTTGGTCATGCTAACTGTCATTTTGTATCTCTTTCTTTTTATTTCTCACATTCTCTCTGTCTCTCTCTTTCTCTCTCTTGCTATGTGTTTGTTGTATTTATGTTCATTTGTATATACAAATATAAACAATAAATTTTCACACCTGCTTGCATGCTTATGCATTCATCCACACAGGCTTGTATGTGCATGTTTGTATTTCAAGATGTATGGTTCGCTCTCACCACCCCTGATCTCCAGTTGTGTGGAATTTCTTAATATGTCTGTTAAGGATGGCAGTTCTATTTCTGTTACTTTTGATTGTTGTGTTATTGATATGATCAAGGTGGCTTCTTTCTTTGATGATCACCCTATTAATCATCTTCTTAGGGTAAAACTAATTGATATCTTCAACTCAACTCTGACCCAGTCAATCAAAAAAGTTATCAACTTCCCCTGACAATAGATGTTTATGCTGTGCCATACTATATGCATGTGCAGATGATTATTGTGCCCTGATATCCTAATGGATGTTATATGCTACCATTCCTAATTATCGTGGAGTTATTGGCTCTATATCGCAATTAACCAAGTTTTTGTTGTTCTGTCTAAGTGTTTGTATGGCGGAGCTCCTAAAGGTCCTCAGTTGAGAGATATAGACCGAGGAGTCCATGTTGTGGTTGCAACTCCAGGAAGGTTGAATGACATATTAGAGATGAAAAGATTGAACCTTGATCAAGTTTCATACCTGGTTCTTGATGAGGCTGACCGGATGCTGGACATGGGTTTTGAACCACAGATACGGAAAATTGTGAAAGAAATACCACCAACGCGCCAGACTCTTATGTACACTGCTACTTGGCCTAAGGAAGTCCGAAAAATTGCATCAGATTTACTTGTTAAACCTGTTCAGGTTAATATTGGCAGCATTGATGAACTTGTTGCTAATAAAGCTATTACGCAGGTATGCACAGACTATGGAAGTTCTACTAATTTGCTCGTTTTTGCATTCAGATAGAAATATCTGTTCATGTGGTCTAATTGCCTCTGAAGCTAAATAGTGGTATCATTTATTGCATCAGCTGATTTTTTTTTTCCTTTTCACTTGATGTCTTTCATTTTGATCAATTACAGCATGTAGAAGTTATTTCACACATGCAGAAGAGACGTCGACTGGAACAGATTTTGCTTTCTAATGGGCCATCAAAATACATAGTATTCTGTTCTACGAAGAGAATGTGTGATCAGCTAGCTGGTTATCTTGATGGTCCATTTGGTGCTTCTGCAATTCATGGCGACAAGTCTCAGATAGAGCGTGATAGGGTACTCAGTGAGTTCCGAAGTGGGAAGTCACCCATTCTTGTGGCAACTGATGTTGCAGCACGTGGATTGGATATTAAGGATATCAGGTTGATGCAAATTTGTTTTCTTAGAACTTAATCTTGGTTGCCAATGCATTAACTTTTCAAGTTTTAATGTATTAGATTGCCTATGTTAAGAAAGGTAGAGGTAGACATAAAAAGACTTAGTTAGAAAATATTAGAAATGACATTTCCTTATTATAAATTTAAATGAGAATTTGACTCTTAACAAAACACAATGGAGAAAAAAGATTCATGTAGCCGATCCCATGTTGTGGGATAAAAGCTTGATGTTGCGATTGTTGTTGTTAATATTCATTGCATGTTGACAGCTTGGGAAGGTGGCCAGTTTGTGTGGTTACAGTTTTATTATCTATTTCATAATTAACTTTTGTTGGTATTGAGATGAAGGTGATGTGATATAGCATTTTGTTTTTACAGGTTTGTGATCAACTATGATTTCCCCACAGGTGTTGAAGACTATGTACACAGAATAGGAAGAACTGGTAGAGCAGGCGCGACTGGAGTAGCTTACACATTCTTTTGTGACCAGGATTCCAAGCATGCCTCAGATCTTGTTAAAGTGTTGGAAGGGGCCGATCAACAAGTTCCTTCAGAGCTACGAGATATGGCATCCCGTGGTGGTTATGGTACAAAGTTCCGGCGGTGGGCATCGGACTCCAGCTATGGCCATAATGATCATGGCTCCTCTCAGTACAGGTTTCTAAAAGAATCTCTACTTAAACAACTAAAAATTTTCTTCACTGTTTCTACATTGTGGATCAAATTGACTTTGATAACAATATTTGTATGACGTCAAAATATGGTCCATCTCTATTCCATCTCTTGCATCATTCTATGCTTGTCAATATTCAAAAGCTTTTGTAGTTTTGAGGTTCTAGTTTCTAGTAGTTCTTATCATTGTTTATATTAGCTTACGTGGTCAGCAGTAAGCCTTCTGAACTACATTGTTGCTTCGCGTGCAAAATAGTTTTCCAGCCCCTTAGCTGAAAGTAGTGCTGATATCTGTATAAATATTTGATGGCATTTACAGATATTGTCCAGAACGTCAAGATCAGGACAGTAAACCTCAGTATAAAAACGACGATCATAGCAACTACGGGGGAAATGGAGGCGACAGCAGTGGCTGCAACCCTAGTTTCAGTCCTGGCCCCGCTGGCGACGACGATGGATTAGGCAATGGCAGTCGTAGTCGAAGCCGAAGCCCTAATCACAACAGTTGTAAGGTTGCACCAGGCCCCGATGATGCCTGGACTAATGCTGCTAATTCATCATGGTAGCCCTCGAGGCCATATCACAACAGAGATTGATCAGGCTGGTGCGTTTTGATCGACACGGATGGACTCTGGTGCCTTGCTTCTTTTGATAGGTTAGTCTCTCTAACGTGTATTATCTTTGAACTTTTTTTGCCTTGTACAGTTCTTCACATCATATTACTCTGATCAGTAAGCCCACTCTTTTGTATCAACTTTGTAAGCACAATGTATCTGACTAACACAGAGGGTTCTCATAGGATGAAGTACTGAAAAGTTGATCATGTTGTTATGGCCCAATGGTCCTTAGCAAACTGTTTATTGTCTGACTATGATATAGGGGTATATTTTTAGTTTTAAGAGTGTTGCGGGCTAGAATATACGCGGCCATAGACTTAGAAATTTTCGTCTCAGCATTATACGGGAAGGAGGGGAAGGGGGGAGATAGCTGTGAAGAAAATTAACTTATGCATGGAGTTCAAGTATTTGCGAAAGAGGATACAATTATAATCTAGTGGGGTTTGGATTTAACATTTTTAATCAATATTTGAAAGCTGTTGTAAGCAATAAATTATCTTGTGCGGAGTTTGAATGAAAAAAATCGTCTGAATTGTGAGTGTACATATTGTATATAAAGAGTGTGTACACTGATTTAATATATATTATGTACAAATATACAGTCAGTGTGTGCATTCACATAGCCGGACGGTTTTCTCTCGTCCGAAATCCGCACAAGATAATTTATCATTGTAAGCAGTATTTGAAGCCTTAGTTAAAATATTATATTATTAAATTTCATTTGGGGTAGCTTTTTCATAGCTTTGCTTTTTAAAATGTTGTCACAATTTTATTTAGTTTTAATTTTCTTGTTGGTTTTTTAAAATTTTATGATAAGAAACATTTTTTAAAAATTAGATTTGATATAGTGTGGTAGCCATAAGATAGATGCTATTTAACCTTTTAAAAGAAAAAAGTTTTTGATATTCATACTATTTTTTTTTTAAAATGCTTTCATCATAAAAGCTCTACAATTATTTTTAGGGATATCTGCAATCATCTCAAATGAAATATTAGGCTTGGCTCTACAATTATTTTTCACTTTTTAGTCAACTAGTTAGTTAAGTTCATATCTTAATTAATATACATCTAAAATTTTATTTCCTCTAATTTTCATCCGAGTTACTAACATATCAAACATTTTTTCTTAAAATTTGGTTGACTTTAAGCACAAGGTTAAAACATGGACTTAATGATCAAAATTAGGGGTGTCAATTTTTGACACGACCCGAACTGACCCGGAAAATTCCGGGTTAGGGTCAACTCGGACCCGAAACGGTTTGGGTTTAGATTCAACAAATCAATCCGTTTTAAAAATCGGGTCGGGTTCGGGTTGACCCAGCAATCCAAAATTGACTCGAAATTGATACGAAAACTTCTATTTGACCCGGAAACTCGTTTTGACCCGATTTTGATCCAAAAATTGAAGATTTACCCGATTTTTTACCCAAAAACTAGCAATTTTAGATCAACTTTGGGTCATTCATGTCGGTTCGGGTTAACCCGAACCTGAATCGAGTCGTGTTTGGGTCCGGAAACTTGACCCGTTTTTAAAAACGGGTTGGGTTCGGGTTGACCCGAATAGTGCTGGGTCAGTTCTTGATTCGACCCGAATCCGACCCGTTGACTCGAATTGACACCCCTAATGAAACCTATAGATAGTTCATTGAGTGTTTTCAGTTGAAAAGTAAATATTCATTTTGCACCAAGTTTCGGAGAGTAGTGGTCTTAGGCTTACATATAGCTTTGGATGATTGTGGATCCTCTAGTAAATACATATTTACTTTCTTACCCAAAATAAATAAGAACCATAACTGTCGATGCCATTAATAAAAAATAATTTTTGTAATTTTTTTTTTCTCGTCATGCTGAAATATTAGTGCTGATTAATTAGATCTTGGCATGATCGAATTCTCTCGAGCTGACTGTAATGTAATTAGCATCTGCCGTTGATGAACAACTAAGTTTTGATCTTGTTTAAGATCTCTGTCTGTAGGCTTTATTACTTGTTAAAGTGTATTAATGAACTGATTTTTGCATAAAAGCTTAGCATTTGTGGAGATTAAAAGCCTCCATTAAGACATTTAATTAGCAGAATTAAGCCTAATTGATGTTGTAAATTAATTTTTAAGTTGAAAGTGGGCATTCATTTCTGTGGAGGTTTTTGATGTTGAATGATGGCATTCATTTAAGAGATTGAATGACATTCTTACTACCAAATTTCAGGGAAGGAGCTATGTCCACTCTCTTTTTAACTCTGTAAATTTTTCTCCTTTTTTTAAAAGATCGTTTAGCGCCGTGATTTAAGAGGTTTAATCACGCCGTCAAGTGCCTTTTCGGGATGGCACCAGATGGATACCCCGTTCAAAAAAAAAATGTTACTTTGCTAATAATATAAAAAAGGGCATGTGATTTTTAGTTAAATAAAATCTTCTCTCAAAAAAAAAAAAAAAAAAATCTCTGAAAGTCCCACCACCATTTTATTAAAAATGTCTCCATGTCACTAAGCCTATAGTATAATCCTTAATTAAGCTTAATTAATCTTTAAAGATTAAGATAGAGTAATCAGAGAGCTTAACAATGAAAGGTAAGTGGACACCTGTATTCATCTAGGTCAAGTCAATCTCATCTTATGTGAGTCTAAAACGGGTTCAATAAATTACGGATTGTGGATTAATTTGAATGTTTATAAGTCTGATCTAACTCACAAAGCTTGAAATAGGTTCATGTATTGGCTTGGGATGCTTTGGGCCAAATTAGCTTATAGTGAACTGTGCGACTCCATTTAACTTATAACACATTAGTAGGTCAAAGTCTTAACCCTAAGGCCTCATTTAGGCCAATTTTTATCTATTTTGTAAAGCTGTTGTAGAGAAAATAATTTTTTAAAATTATTGAAGAAAGTAACTTTTTAGTGTTTTTTTTTTAATAGTGAAATTTTTGTTGACAAATAGAAATTATAGTTACAGTCTAAAAAAATAAAGTAGTGAGAAAATTATCACATACGAAGCCTAAATTATTTAACGATTGATGAATTAACACGCACCATCCCATATCCACATTTTGCATTATTGAATAGTTGCAACCCAAACAGAAAGAGATTTCAGAAAGCCATTAATAAGCTTACAATCATCATCACTGCTTGGACCTTGGAGCAACCAAGCCTCGCTCATCCACTTCAATAATCTTTAGCCAGCATTGCTTTGAGGAGTCTTGCATACGAGAATATTCGTGGCAGTAGAGAGATTTATGGTTCAGCATCCTAGCTTTGTAAAAGGATCCAACACACAAATAGATAAAAAGATGGGTACAATATTCATAAGAGACACAAGAATTTTTAAGTGAAAAACCTTAAAGAGGGAAAAAATCATAGGGCCTAGCTCAGTTTATGAATCCACTAGTATTAGTGGTTGGTTACAAATAATATCCTTACTCGAGGGAAGGCATTGGCTCAATATAAAAAATACACATTATATTGCTTGGTTGGGGTTGGAAGAATCTGATGATATGAGAGCTACTCTCAAGTGAGTGTTGGCATGTTCATTTGGTTGGTAGGATCGTAGTCGACGACGAAGGCCTGAGGGACTGTAGTCGGCAGGTGATGGTGGTCGGAGAGGTTGTAGTCGGTGGGTGACGGTGGTTAGAAGGGAAATAGTTGGGCGACGGTGGTCAGAGAGACCATAGTTAGCGGGTGACGATTTTCGGAAGGACCATAATCAGCGGGCGATGGAGGTTGAAATGATCGTAGTTGGATGACGGTGGTCGGAGAGACCTTAGTCAACAAGCAATGGTGGTTGGAAGGACCGTAGTCGATAGACAACGATGATCATATGAATTTTGATGCCGATAGCATTAGGGAAGAGTTCTGACGATAGTCGGAGAATGGGCGGAAGTTCAGTTGTGATCGGTGGTCGGGAAGAACTCCGGAGGTGGCAGTGCTAGTTGGAGAGTGCAAGAGAGCTCTTAAGATTTCTCGTCTTCTCCTCCCCCATTATGTGAAGAATGTAGGGCTATTTTTTTTTTTTTTTTTAGTGGCATGACTAGTAATTATGGAGAATATCAAGGTTATGGAGAAAATCAAGGTTATGTTGGGAGTGTTCCATCTGATGACTTGTATTAGTTCTCTTTAACTTTGCCTCATGACAAGTATAGTTTTGAACGAATCGTTGAATAACTTCTTCGCCCCCTTCCACGGCGTTCCTTCCATCTGTCAGATCCGAAATCACAACCCCTCGCCCTTTGTTTGTTCAATCAGAAGTAACAACGATGTTGGAAGCTTGTTCATTGCGAAGGTAGCCATCTTTCTTTCATGCATGCGCTTCTTCAGTCAAATCCTGTATCCAAACAGCCCAAAAATAGATGTGGGTTTAACCATTGTGATAAGCAGTGATTAAGGCTTCGTTTGGGACGGCTTTCTTCCTGCTTCTTAAAATGGCTTTCTAATTAAAAAGTTAAAATTTTTGTACTAAAAAGCCGCTTTAAGAAGCATTAAGAAAGTCGACCCAAACGAAGCCTAAATTACTAAAATTTGTAATGATTTACAAATTAAAATCATTGCGCTTTACTACTAAAACAACAAGACTTTGTTCAATGAGACAACCATTTTAGGAATATTTATGATGAAAACTATAATAGTAAATCTACCGAAGTTTGTTCTTTTCTTATATTTATGAGGTAATTCTCTGCTCTAGTCCTGGTATTCAATACTGACTCCTTCACCATTGATTTGTTATTATCAACCCCTTTTATTCTCATTGCGAGTGCCAGCCTCCTATAAAAACTTCATTCGATACTATAAACTCTTAATCTTTATCATAAGAAGGGGGAAAAAAATACAATTTGAATCTTTAAAGAATTTAATCAAATTCATCAAATAGACTATATTAATATATCATTCTCAATATAATCAAAACCATAAGGACCAAACTCAACCTCCCATGAAATATTCCTTACATGGACCGATCATAGTTTTATAAAAATTTCCTTAAAATTGTTGTGTTATAATTGTTTGATTCAAATTCTTCCATATCAATACTAGAATCCTATTTGTAAGATTTTTTATGTGTGGAATCTGATTGTGTTGATTAATTGGATTGTTTTGTCGCCTCAGACCTCAAATTTCTCTTGCTCACTAGGGTGTGCGGGGGGTGGGTTTACTCCCTGCTTGGTTTGGGTGCTTTGGGTGAAAAAAAAAATTTCCCGCACAACGCTCCATCGCTATGTACCCAAGCAATCAAGTGCTATATGCCCGAACGCCCCAACGTTGTGTTCCAGAGTTCTCAAAGCTGAACAACAGAGAGCATAGTGCCACAACGGCATAAATACGACACTGCAGCGTATCAAGACATAGGTTCAAGCGCCGTGGTGCTTCAAATTGGCATCGCAACCCTGGGAGACGGACTAACCGGTTTTCTTTCTCATTTTTTCTGAAGGGATGTATGCCTTGGGGTTATTTACTTGATTTTCTCTTGCATTTTGAGCGTGAGATATTGGACAACGGTGCATCAAAGAAGATAAGCAAGGAGATAGTGAGAGAGAAGAGAGATTTGTACTTATTTGTCACAATTTTTATAGTGAATTTTTTGGTGTTGTGTGGCTCCATATTTTTTTTTCCCTAATTTAGATTTTTCCATGTTAAATCCTGGTGTCATTTACTTTATGTTGCTTTTATTTTCTTACTTTTTTCATCATTGTGGGGTTTATTTATCATCATCTCCAAGAAGATTTCCAAGATTCCCGCAAAATATTAAAAAGAGTGAGAAAGAGTTCTAATGAGAGGAATTCTGAGAATCTGATTGCTAGCACAAAATGCCCAAGATGATCATACACATTCGACCCTAGTTGTAGAGCATTTTTGGTGCTACAAGGAAGCTACACATTAAATTTGTAAAATAAATAAATAAATAATATATGATAAGGTAGTTGTAGACATGTGAACATTTTAATTAGGACTCTAAGGCCTTCTTCAGCCGTTCGGCAAACAGGCGAATGGAGAGCCTTAGACGTGCCAACCAAACTCCTTTTTTTGCCGGCATTAAGTCGCTTATGAACAATGCGACGCCAATATTGGCGTCGCACTGTTCACTTTCGTCATTTCTTTCTCTCTATCGAACTACGTCTGAAAAAGGCGAGAAAGAAACGACGATAATTTTGGGGCAAAATGGAGTTCCACTGGAGATGAATCACGGCACTTTTTGATTTTACTGCATTTTGCAGTGAAAAATGAGAGTTTCGGTTGGAGATGCCCTAAGAAGGACTCATGGAAATAATGTCTATAGCGCTAAAAAGTACACCCAAACAACTCTATGTCTCTATGTGCAAGTGATAGGGAGTAATTGCTAACTAGACAAGTGAGGTTCTATGCCTTCAGAATGGATAAACAATTTGCTAATGAATTCATTGGCTCAGGGTACGTGTAGGTGAGCCACTCTTATTGATTTGGCAAGGAACCTCTCAGGTTGGGCGAATTATTATGTCCGGTCACCCAATCCAAACACGCCATATCACCCGAATACATTAGGTCCCGGTGTATTTTGGTGACGTGGGGCGTCTGGATTGGTGTCCGGACGAATCCGGACACCGAACGTAATACTTCGCCCTCAGGTTGAGAAAAGTAATTCCTTAAGATGTGGCGAGTGACCCCTCAAGCTGGCGTGAGTGTCTCTCAAGCTTAGTTGAGTGAACATGATGAATCTTTCGTAGGCTTCGTTTGTGACGGCTTTCTTACTGCATCTTAAAGCAACTTTTTAGTATAAAAATTAAACAACTTTCTAGTATAAAAATTTTAATTTTTATACTAAAAAGCTATTTTAAGATACAATAAAAGAGCTGTCACAAACGAAACCTTAGTGCAATTAGTTCGAGGACTCTACTAGTTTTACGTGGCAAAGTTCCTCCTCATTGTCTTTAGGGATGCTAATGATAAAAAAAAAAAAAAAAGTTGACACTGATCACAGCTTCAATCCTAGCTATATCAAGTTACAAATAATTCTCTAGTTATTTACATTTAATCAATATAAACATAAAATTTTAAATTTTATATAATAATTAATTAAAATAAATATTTGCAAAAAATTTCAATTTTGACATTATGTTAACTATATAAAATTAATATTCTAAATAATTACAGAATTAAAAAGATAAAAAATTTTCAAATTAAATATAATATTTATTGTTTCTTACATTATTAAATTTTTTTTAAGTAAAAAAAAGCATAAATCGCCACATAGACAACGACTTATCCACATGGATGCATGCCGATTTATTTCACATGGCTCGCGACTTAGGTTTTGTTTGGGATAACTTTCATACTATTTTTTAAACCATTTTTTTAATATAAATTTTTCTTGAATTAGAAATATTTATACTAAAAAGTTGTTTTAGAAATCAACAAAAAAACTATTCCAAACGAATCCTTTGTCCTTTTTCTAAATATATATTTTCCTCCCTCTTTTTTTCCCTAATTAATTTTTTATATAATCAGTTTTTAAATTTTTTTTCTTAATGAGGATTATGGATTGGTAGCTAAGGCCTTCTTGTTAAGGTTTCAATGAAAATCCAAGACCAATTCTCTGTACTCGTCCTCCTTCGTTCTCTTCTCCGCTTCTTTGCTTCTAATCTGAATTGGCAAATTATTGCGTCCGGTGTTGGATTCGTTCGGACATCAATCTGGTGTCGTCACGTCATCAAAATACATCGGGACCCAGTGTATTTGAGTAACATGGCGTCACTGGATTTGATGTCCGAACATCCGGTGACCGGACGCAATAATTTGTCATCTGCACTCATATATACATTCCTTCCATCTATAGATGCCAGCAGGCTATGTAATCGCTGATTATCATCATTAAAATTTCCTATGATTGCATCTCTTATTTGAATTTTTTTTTTCATTTTGAATGGTGAGCTATCAATCGCGTAGCATTTGGCTTGAAATCGGAACTCCGAAGAATAAGCCTTTCTCCTCTAATCAATCCTTTAATTCTGCATCAAGAATTACATTTTTTTTATTTAATGAAACCAATAAATTATTCTTAAGCTCTCTAAAACTATTTCCAAAAATAGTTTAATTTCAGCCAAAATTATCTTCAACCAACTAAATAATCCGACCCTTTTATGATTTCTCTCGTTTAACTAAGGTTTCGTTTGGGACGGCTTTTTTTACTGATTCTTGAAGCAGTTTTTAATACAAAAATCAAATTAAAATTTTTATACTAAAAATCTATTTAAAGAAGCAGTAAAAAACTTGTCTCAAACGAAGTCTTAGCAGTCACTTAGCAAATTTAAGTAATAGAAAAGCCTCAATGGAATTAGAGGTGTAAATGAGTCGAGCCAAATTCGATAATTTGGGCTTGAGAGCTTGAGCTTTATTTTGAGCCGGCTAGAAACTAAGATAAATTCACATACACATTAGACTCGAATGCAAGAACTTTTGATTGATATTCAAAGCTCCCAAGCAACAAATGAAGGTGAGTTACGTATAATTTTATACTTAAAAATCATAAATACTAATATATTTTAAGTGCATTCTATGTTAGTTTTGTTAAACGAACTGTCTGCAAAGTTAATGAGTTATGTCAGGACTGGCTCAAACTTAGCTCGTTATCTGATCGAGCACAACTCACGAGCCATTTATCGAGTTAAGCCCGAACTCCGAGCTAGTTCAAGAGTTTGCTTGATTCTCTTGCACCTCAAAATGCAGCAAGTGGGAAAAGGAAAAAAATAATAATAATCATACTCATCCCTTAAATTTAACAGAACCAATAGTATCCAACCACGTGCGAACGAGCCGCACGGTGGTGCTTTTCACAAGACCCTTCCAAATGGGTAAACGGTTGACCATGCAATCCAGTCAATTGTTATCCATCCCTTGACCCGGGTAAGTGGGACCCACCCTTCCACTTCACATAATCTTCCCCGCGCGCCCTGCCCTGTGTTGTAAAGACAAAGAAGAAGCTTAACCGTTACAATTACTATACCAATTAAATCTCGGATTAAAGCTCAACATCAACGGCTACCATTCCTCAAGTCTTCAATGCATGAAATTCTTTGCTCATAAAAAAACACAACACCCCCACCATCAGCTCCCCACATCCCAACCTCCCTCCTCCCTTTCTTCTTCTTCCCCTGATCGATCTCCTTCTGATCTCTTATTTGCTCCCCAGCTGCATGCTCAGCCATGGACTTCGATTCCTTCAAGCTTCCAATATCAAGTACTGTTCTAATGGCTTCACACACATCTTACAATATCCATCATCTCGACAATCCGTTCGATGTCAATAGCTTTGGCTGTTATAATATCGATAATAATCCTTTCATCGATGATGATTTATCCAACAACAATCTCTTCACTTCCTATGCAAACAGTTTCTCATCGACGTCGAATCGGATTAAGAGCAGCATGGATCAGATGCCTCTGTGTGTGCCGTCCATCCAATCTCCAAATGATCCTCCTGCTTCTCTTCCTCTTGATCATTTCTTTCTTAACCAGGCTTCCATGGTTCTTGGCGCCGAATCCTTCATGACCTTCAGGACCCAAGGAAACAGCCAAGATCATCAGCTCTCCTATGGCTCCAGTGATAAGAGTGTTGGAAGGTCATACAACCCAGCTGGATCAAGTGTTATGAATAATAAGTTTATGCCGAACAAGAGAAGAACTACTAATGGCATAATTCACAAGAAAGTCAATTTGATCAAAGGCCAATGGAGCCTTGAGGAAGACAAGTATGTTTGAATCTGGGTCTTGATCTATTTAATTTCGTATATCTGGTTTCTACTTTTTTATATTATTTGTATTTAATTATTATATAAGATTTGATAGCCCCACCATAATTTTTGACTGTGTAGATTATTAGTGAAGCTGGTGGAGCAATTTGGATTGAGGAAATGGTCTCACATTGCTCAAATGCTCAATGGAAGGATTGGAAAACAGTGCAGAGAGAGATGGCACAATCACCTCAGACCAAATATCAAGGTCAATTTCAGTCATTATCTTCTCATACATCTTTACATTTCTAGAGAGAGAGAGAGAGAGAGAGAGAGAGGAATCATATTGCAATTTTCCTCATTAACAAATGAATGATTAATAGAAATTCCTTATACACATAATAATTTTTATAAGGAATTTTTTATGTGAACAAATCTTTTGTTTATATCGATTACTGATCTTGAATTTTCTTGCATATATATCTATGGATATTATTTTATTTATTACATGCAATCACTAAAAGTTCATATAAAAAAGATTTAAAGAAATTAAATAATCGTTGCAATTAACTATGTAAATTGTGAGTTTTCGTGCAAGAAATGACAGATGTAATAAAGGGTGACTTTTGAAAGAATTTAGCACTATGAATTTAAGTGTAATAATGTGTTTAGCATTTCTTTTAGGAGATTTCTCAACCTAATAGGAAAATATATATTTGTTAGTTGTTAGCCATTAGAAAGATTTGGTCATTTTCTGAAGGAAAACTTTTATGTGAGAATATAATATTTTCGTATAATTTATTTCAAATTAGTTAATTATATATATATATATATATATATATTAATTTTAAAATAAATTTGATAATATTCAACCTCATGATATTCTAATATAATTGTTTTCCTTTATTTTAAGAATCTATTTCATTTGATATACTGATAAAATTTTAATATTTTATAAAATAAATAGTCATATTTTATATGAAAAAAATATATAAATTGTTTCATAGATTAGAATATTACGAATATAAATATAAAATGATGATTAAAGGTCTATTTGGGACAACTTCAGTATTTTATAAAGTTGATTATGAAATTGCTATGGAGAAAATAAATTAATTACTCTGGTTGTTAAAAATAATTTTCAACAACATAAATTTCTAAAAGCATCGAGAAAATAGCACGAAAACGATAGCTAAATAAAATTATGGTTGATTTCTGAAAAACGAGACAACAAAAAAGATGTTCCAAACAAATCCTAAGTTAGATGATAGTAAACTTTATAAATTTATTGTAAATTAAAAAAAAAAAAGAAAAACAAAAGAGACTCCTCTATAGGGAGTGCAATGCAGAGATTGATCATCATACATTTGTCATTTTCTAGTAAAGTTTTTTGGTTTTCCCCTACCTTCACATACTGAAAAACTGAATAACAGAAATAAATAGAAAGGCACATTTATATAAGGGAAGTTATGATAATGATAATTATAGTAAATAATTGCTTGTATTAACAAAAGCATCTCTATTAATTTTCAACTTATTACATTTTTAACTCCTATAATTCCTTATGCCTCCTTAACTTAATTCAGTTACATTTTCTTAAGAAACTTTATTTCAGCCAAAAAAATTCATGAAATTCAACCATTATACGTTTCATTCCATATATGCACATATTAATGGTGGCAGATGCTTGCAGAAGGACACATGGAGCGAGGAGGAAGACAAGATATTGATACAGGCTCACTCAGAGATAGGCAACAAATGGGCAGAGATTGCAAAGAGGCTGCCAGGAAGGACGGAGAACTCCATTAAAAACCATTGGAACGCCACCAAGAGAAGGCAGTTCGCTCGCAGGTAGCTAGCTACTGTGTATAAAAATCCCTTTTTTATTTTGATTGAAATTTTCAACTCATTTACACTCTTAATCTCAGGCGCTGCCGTAGCTCCAAGCATCCCAAGTCTGGCGCCGGCTCACTCCTTCAAGAGTACATCAAGAGCATCTCCCTCCTGAATCCATCGCCGGCCCCGGCAGCTGCTAACACTAATGAGAGTGCTGCTTCTACTGCAGAAGCTGCTCCTCCAATGCCGATGCCGATGCCATTGATGTCAGTATCTGCATGGGATGACGATTTTAGCGATATGGCTGAGGAGCTCATGATGCTTGATACGAAGAAGATGGAGTTGATGACTGATATGTGTGATGTTAGTTACCTGCTTGACCATTTGGGGTGTGGAGGAGAAAGCAGTAGAAGCAGTAGCAATGCGAGAGATCAGATGGAGGAATGCTTTTCGATGAGTAGTGAGGAGAAGGTGAAGAAGGAGATGGATTTGGTGGAGATGATTTGTGACCATCATAATAACAAGAGTTGTTACAGCAGTGCTTGCGATGACTTGCTGGCCGCTTAGTTACTGAGAATGATCTCACTCAACATGCAAATAAAGAAGAGAATGTTCAGACGGTAGATTGAATGAGTAGTGCAGGCTGTATTTGAAAATAATTTTTTTTTTGTTGCTTAGTTCACGGTTTTTTTTTTTAATTGTAACAGCTGGCTTTGGAAGTTGCGGCCGGTTGGTGCATTTCTTTTAGTGATCTTACATTGTATGGCTGCTTCTGATAAAAATAAAAATAAAAAGAAGGTCAATTATGATAATTTGAATTCATGGTGATTTAGATTAATATTTTTACAATCTGAAAGACAAAACTTACAGTGAAGGACTAAAATTGTTGATCCATGGTGATTAAACTAAAAATTTGATCGATCATGAGTGCACTCTGGTTAACAAATTATAGATTTTTAATTCAATATTGATCAAATAGAGTGGATTTTGAAGATTTGTGCCTCAAAAGATTACTCACCATCAAAAAGTTAATATTTTCGCAGCAGCTTATAGCAGTGATTTTAAAACCATCGTTATAGATAGATATAGACAACGGTTTTGACCGCTGTTAAATTCATCGTTAAAAAGTTGAAGTTTCCACAATATTTTATAGCAGCAGTTTGCAAACCGCCGGCTAAGGCACGGCCGCTCATAAATCTGTCATATTATTTATCTCCTCTTTTAATTTGTGCCCTAGCCGTTTCATTCTCCTTCTTGACCGCAAATTCGTCTTCGTAGATCTCCATTCGACGATCATCCACGTTGAATCAACCAGCCCTGATGCCGAAGCCACCTATCTAGATGCCGAATCCTACCTTCCTGATGCCGAATCCACCCATCTTGATGCCAAATCCTAACATTCTAATGCCCAATCCACCCTTTTGATGTCGAATCCACCCATTCTCCTTCTTGAAATGGCCATGATGATGGGCTATTTTTGGATTTTGAGGAGGAGAAAGAGTCGGAGGGGGAGGAAAGCGAGATTGAGAGGTTGATGCCAGCGTTGGAGGTGGTTCCGATTTTTGGTAAGTTTGGTTCCAATTTTTCATAAGTTTGATCCCGATGCTGAATTCTATTTTTCAACTGTTTATGCGCGTATGGATTAAAAAACATGGAATTGCCTTAGCATAAATGGGCATCGGCTTGCATTTTCAATTCATCATTATTGAAATAACAAATCTCTCATATTCTCTTTCCTAACTTATTGATTATGTGGAATCTCAGTGCCACTAAAATCCCATAAAGACTATATTTGATCATCCATATGTTTCCTTTCTGTTTTATGGCATTTGTAAGGGGTGTTAATTTTGGGTCATGGGTCAGGTTTGGGTCGAACCCCAAACTAAACCGACACTATTCAGGTCAACCCGAACCCGATCCATTTCAAAAAACATGTCAATTTTTCAGACTCGAACCCGACCCGCTTTGGGTCCGGGTTAACCCGATGCGACCAAAATGACCCAGGTCAAACAAAACATTGCTAGTTTTTGAGTAAAAAAATGGGTCCATCTCTAATTTTCAGGTCAAAAGTTGGTGAGTCTCGGGTTTCCGAGTCAAAAACGGGTCAAAATGGGACAATTCGGGTTAGTGGGTCAACTCGAATCCGACCCGATTTTTGAAACGGGGCGAGTTGTTGAACTCGACCCATTTCGAGTCCGGGTTAACCCTAACCCATAATTTTTGAGTCGGGTTCGAATCAAATTTTCATGTCATGTCAAATATTGATACCCCTAATTGATACAACTAGTGACTTCATCCCCATAAAGTAACTAAGAGAGAAATTAAACAGGCCTCGCCTTGAAGTTCCCATGGATATACAAGATGGAAATGAAGATGAGAATATATATGTATTCCTCTCATTCATCCTGTTACTCTAAGCTCTCTCTGTGTTATGCTACAAAAAAAAAATGAAATTTAGTTGCAGAAGAGCAAGTACTAAAGTCTAGCAAGTGCTAAAGTACTTGTAGATTTGTATGTTGTTAGCATTCACTCAATTATATTTGTATAATGTTTTATTGATATTTATAATTTGATCACAAAATTTAAATTTTTGCCATTATATTTTTTTAATCAATTCTACCACATTTAGCAGCATAAACAACCTTGAAATGAATTATCTTCTTCTCCCACCTCTAGTCCAAAATTTCCCTCGAGAAGCAACCGTAAGAGGTCTATCACGAGCCATTTTAAACTCATTTCCAAGATCTGAATATGACTCAGAATCAGATTCATATTCAGACGAATTATGCAACCAATCACCATGGGACCTAACATCCAATCCGGAAATACCTCCCACCTGGTACATCATAGTTTGGGATGCCATTAAGTTTACAGGAACATTAACCAAATTTTAAGAATTGACCAACAAGCCTTCCACATCTGAATTTACCACCTGTCCACACACATTTGTATCCACATTCATAGCACTATTCTGAAGCTGAACAGAATCACCCACAACACCTAAAACAGGCGAATCACCATCAACCAACCCACTAGGCCCCCTACCACACGCAGCAGAGACATGCGCAAAAACAACAGGAGTAGAAACCAAAATCTCAGTACCAATCGGCACCAGATCAATAGCCGGCAAAGCCTCAATCACAACCGTATGACCAAAATCGTCCACCACACACGAGGGAATAAAAGGAGTAGCATTAGGTGACAACACAATATCAGCAACATCTAAAATATTAACACCAGCATCTAGCACAACATTATCCTCCCTAGATAGAACAGGGGCATTCAAATCTGGCTTCCCGCCAGGGGATAAAACAGTAGCAACACCCATAAGATCCACATTATTGTCACAGTAATGAGCTAACGGCAAGGCAACAGTTAAAGACCCATCAATCCCATTAGTAACTTGCTCAGCAGGATCACACAATTCATCAGTTGAAGGCACAACCGAAAGGCCCTCCCCACCAGTAAGCAAAGGTTCACTAGAAACGGTCTGAACATGCTTACTACTTAAGGATAAATTGTTACCATTAAAGACAGGCTCAACACCCATATATATTTATTAAATGAATATATTAATGAAGTTTGATTGCCAAACACTTTCTACACTGTTCAACTCCTTATTTAGCTGAGTATTAGCTAGTTGATGTTCTTAGGATTCTTCCATTCTCAACATTTGATTTGGAGGATCTATAGGTTAAAGGATCGAGTTGAATTTTGTTAACATCAACCTAATCTCATTGATCCTATTAGGACATGGAGCTATGAAAATGAAGTTTAATATATCATTTGTAAGGAGATATTCCACTTGCGTAAACACAATTATTCCCTAGATCTCTACGTCCTTGTTCATATAGTATGTTGAGATCATAATATATTTTCATTATAATTCAACCAATTTAGTATGTATATTTGTAATCTTCATAAAACCATTCAAATTGGGTTCATAGGTCAAAAGTTCGACCATTGTAACTTTAATCCTAAACTATTGAAGTTGCTTAAAGACGTCTTATCTTTTTATTTGTTGTGGCAATCTTGTTAATTAGTTAATTAATCTTTATTGTTGCATCCTATTCGCAATGATAGAGAAATATAAAATTTCACGTTTTAGCTTTGTACTAAGATCCAACACATAATCAGATAAAAGAAAAGGTGTAGCATTCATAGAGACGGCAGAGTTTTTACGTGAAAACTCTTAAAAATGGAGAAAAACCACAGGGCTTAGCCCAATTTGAATGAATTTATTAGTATTTGCAATTGATTACAAATAAGGCCCTTCCTTGAGGGGGAAGGCCTTGGTTTGATATAACAAATATACATTATATAGAGTGCATTACATGGTGGGAATTAGAAGAATAAGTATTGACATGTTTGTTTGGTCGGCAGGACCATATATAGTTGGTGGGCGACGAAGGTCGGAAAGACCGTAGTTGAATGACGGTGGTATAAAGTTAAAGGACCCTAGTCAGCTAGTGGTGGAGGTCAGAAAGACCATTATATGATGACAGAGGTTATAAGGACAATAGTCTGGTAATAGAGGTTAGAAGGACCATAGTTGGCCGGTAACAGTTATAAGAAAGATCGTTATATGGTAATGGAGGTTGAAAGGACCATACCGTAATATAGCGATGAAGGTCAGAAGGACTATAGTTGACAAACGACAGTGGTCAGAAAGACCATTATTTATTGACAGAGGTTAGAAGAACCATAGTCTTGTGAGGGAGGTCGGAAGGATCGTAAATGGTAGGTGACGGAGGTCGAAAAGACCTTTTTATGTCGACGAAGTTCAGAAGGACCATAGTCGGGCGGGAGCATTGGTCAAAAATATTGTTATTGGGCGACGAAGGTCGGAAGGACCATAGTCTCGCGATGAAGGTAGGAAGGACCGTTGTCTGGCGTCGGAGGTCGAAAAGACCGTTGTCGGATGCTAAGTGGAATTTCAACATCAATCGGTGGATCGAAAGAAGTCCAACGTCTGTTGGTGGTCGGTTGTAAGTCCAATATTAGTCAGTGGTCAGGCAGAAGTCTGACATTAGTTGGTAGCCATATGTAATTCCAACAATAATTAGAAGTCGATGGAAGTCCAACATCAATTGGTGCCTGAAAAGAAGTCTGGCGTTAGTCGGTGACCGATCCGACAATAGTCCGACGATAGTCGATGGTTCAATGGTGGTCGAGGAAGAGTCTGATGTATTAATATGTCTAATTTCTCTCTCTTCCTTCTCATCCTTTTCTTCCTTGCTTCTCTCCCCTTACTTTCTCCCCTTCAGTGAAGAATGGGGAGTCTATTTATAATTTTCTGATATAGGCATGACCAGTAATTAGAAGAGAGATCAATGATAGGTTGGGAGTGGTTTTAATGGATGAACGATGTTGACCCCCTTGATCGTAAACCGTTTATTGGACATTTGAATGCTTTAGTGATGTCAGAATTTGACAATCACGGGCTTGTTGGATTTTTCTCGTCGAGCCGCTCGATTCGACTATAAGCATATCACGTTTGAAAACTGTTTAATCCAAATTATAGTTTGAACCTTCCAAATATGCTTCGAGTCTTTGATTTGGACCCATTTGGGCTCGGATTGAGTTGAATTTGGTGTCGTTCCGTTCTTTTTGAGACATTCAGTTCGACTATAAATTTGCTGAAATTAGAGTTCATATGATCCCGATTTAATTTCGAAAGTTCTCAAATCAAATTTTCCTTGAGATTCGTGCCCGATCAAGATAATTTTTTTGATGATATATCATTTATAATTCTATAGAAGCCCATTTTCCCAAATTCCTACTACATTCTCATTAAATTTGTCCAAATTTGAGACCTTCTAGTTCTAACCTATGCTAGCCCCAAACTCAAATAATATTGGATAACCAAGCCCAACCATCCCCTAACTTGATACTTGACCTCCTTCACCTTATGTTATATTCAAGGTGTTCAACTAGTTGTCTCAGTGTTTCCCTTAGTCAAACAATAAATATAAATATTACTTTCTAATATCTTCTTGATCATTTTATCTTCTTTTCAATCTTCCATTGTTCTTTTGATATCATATTTATCAATTATTATTTGAGAAGATTTAATTATAAAAAAATGCTAGTGAAAAGTTTTAGAGGAATTTATTATTATTATTATTTACTTTATTTTTTTGTCATTAAATAGCACAACATCTTGATGTTGAAAAAAATGATTTATATATAAAAGATAATAAAATATAACTCAAATTTTAATAATAAAATAATTATTTAAAATAACATCATATCAAATAATTAATGTAATTATATTTCTTTGGTTGATTCCTTATGATCATTGGGAGAAGGTCTTTCAATCTTTACTTTGAATGCTAAATGAAATGCCACTGAATTGGATGGTTGAGAGTGACACAAAAAAATATCTTTAATTTTTGTTTTTCCCCTATTTGCACAGCCGTTGATATATATATTCTAAAATCATTACTTTTTTTTAAAATTATCATACTTATATATATAATTTATTTATATTTTGAATTAATTTTGAATTGATTTGATATTATTCAGATCAAACTTAAAATTAACTCGAAGATTGGATA